TAGGTGCTCGCAACTGCATAAGGTCATATGAGTGCGCAGGACACATTAAACTTTTTCAGTTTGGTAGCAATTTTGAATTTTGCCCAGGTGTTGACCGATGCCCACTCCTATCGATGTTGGACCACCAAGGGGTCTTTAACGTGTGCATCTTGCAAACGGGACCTCGAGGTTTTTTCTCCATATCCGAAAAGGCCATGTGTCAGATCTTACCTACCTTAAGACCTGGGGAGTGGCTGAAAGACAGTAGTAGGAAGGATCCAAGAAGTAGCGGTAGAAAGGCTGAAGAAAGAGTCAGGAGCCCAGAGGAGGGGGGCACCCACACTTACTTTGAACAAAGTATGATATTCAGAGTAACTTAATACTGCCATCTTGCTCATATGAAAAATAAAGAAAACCGTTACCACCCTCTCCCTAAAAAAATATTGGCCTATTGTGAGGGATTGGTATTTATCGAGCGACAAGATCTATATACTATAAATAATTACACAATATATTTCTTATCCTGCTAGATTAACATATCTTAACCAACAATACTTTTTCATGTAGATGCTTGATTTGTCTCAGAAAAGGAAAGAAAAACTTGTTTTTAGTGCTGGGTGTGAACTAAGGGATGTGTTACGATACCATTGACACATGCAACGATAAAAGAGATAATCATAGCAGGTTTTTAAAAAAAAACTAACCTATACGAAAATGGTGTACCATAAAGAAATATCCCATGCCGTTTTTGCACCTCGGAACGTTTTATTATAGATGCAGGCTCGCCAAAGCTCCTGTAGAATCGATGAGACATTCAGGCAGTCTAGTGAATGAAGACAGGACGGGAGTAGGAGAGGCGGGGTTAGGAAGGAGCGCTGGTCAGACGCGACGCAGCAGCCGCTCAGATTTTGGATTCAATACACGCGTCAAACCGGCAGCACACGAGACCAATGCATTCTCACCATACTCACAGCATCAATTCGAGTATTAAATTCTGCAAAAGTAAAACCCACACCACATGCACGCACGAGACTTCAATTTGGATTATAATTATATTAATGTGAGGAGTCGCGGTGTGCTCTATAATCAATAACTGTCTAGAACAATGGTTGGATGTGAACCGTTGAACTGTGCTGTGTCGTCTGCTTGTGTATATATGTATGTCAGCACAGTCCCAAGATAGAAATGAGAGGGGGTGGGAATGTGTGTATGTAACCATAATAGTTTCATGTTAGAAATTGTACTGAAGGGGTTGGCATGTGTGTGTGTGACCATAATCCCATGGTGAAGATTAGACGGATGAAAGGGTGGGTACGTGTGTTTGTCACAATAGTCACATGGCAAAAATTAAACTGAATGTGTGTATGTGTGTGTGTGTGTGTGTGTGTGTGTGTGTGTGTGTGTGTGTGCGCGCGTGTGTGCGTGTGTGTGTGTGTATGTGTGTGTGTGTGTGTGTGTGACCACAGTCCAATAATAGAAATTAGACTGAAGGAGTTGAAAGGCAGTTTATAGACCTCGAGGAAAAGAAAAATGAGAAGAATCGGCAGGGGAAAGGGGGAGGGGGGGAGGATAAATACAATGCATAATCAGCAG